TCCTCCAGCTCCGCACCTTGTTTTCTCGGACTCCAGCATTGGCAGTTCCTACTACCCCTGTAACATTTATGCTTCTTTCTGCACAAATGCTGTCAGACCTGCTGTATATTTTCATGTTCTGTTTTCATTTTTCATTTGCCTTGTATTTGGGTTTAATTTTCACTTTGCTATCCTTAGAATCTCCAGCTTCAAACTATTTGTGGAACTCAGTACAATCGAAGGAAGGAATTAAAATAGAATATAAAGTCTATCTTATCTAACGAGTCCATTGAAATTTGGTTTATTAACACTCCTGTTCTTTTATCTTGCAGAGATTAATGTGTATCCAGGTCTGGCTGTGTTCTTTCAGAATGCATTAATATTTTTTAGGTAAGTTGGTGTTCAGGACATGAGCAGTTTTTGCATGACTTCTCAGACAGCACCTTAATAGTTTCGAATGTAAAAAGCACTAATTTCAGCTCTAATGTTCTTTTTACTGGGGTGTAGATTTTACCAGGGCTGCAACTTTCCTGATCCCCTGCCAACTCAGCTAATAACCACTCAGATTATCTTGCCAAACATTATTTTCCCACCTTGGAACTAGAGCTATTGTTATGCACAGGGTCACCTAAACATACATTAGTTGGACAGAATGGTCCATGATGACACCTTTGATAAATATGCCAATAGTTTGCCCTTTTCCCTCCAAAAATTGTCTTAATTCCATGATTTATGCCAACGTCACATAACTAGCATTCACAATTCAATATCAGCAAAATCTAAAGTCCTTGCCTGTGACCCTTTTACCAGAAACTTCCCTCTCTATTCTTGTCTGCCTTCCAGGGTGCTAACTCTAGCACAGCTCAGAACTTTGATATCATGCTTGACACTGAGCTTCAGGTTTCTCTATTTCCAATTCCATTCCAATTCCAAGTTAGCCATTCTTCTCTGCCCTGTCAACACCATGCTGCATTCACAACACCATATTTGTGCTCTTTTGAAGCCCACCCACTGAAATCCTGACTCCTGTGCTTGCTGATATTGTGACTCCTTTTTTTTTCCCCAACTTTCCTTTTTAAAATCACCATATATCACCATCCTTATCTTTTCTCTACCCCCAACACAGCAAACCTATTCCTTCACGGTGGTTGGGTCAAAGTCTTGGAACTTTTCTTTTCTTGAAGACTCCAGTTAGTCAAGCAAACCACTCGTTCAGGTCATTCCCAACCTCTCGAAGGCAATTAAGAATGGGCAATAAATGTTGACACTTGCACCACATGAATAAATAAAAGAAAACCTATCCTGATGTTCAAACCGTGTATTCTCTTCTGCCTCGCCACTGGCCTTCTTTTGCTGTAAGATACTTTTGCTTACACCACTATTTCCTTAAACTCTCTCTTTCAATCCAACCTTTCCAGTTTCTATTCTGCTCACAACAATCAGATCACTCTAATGTCATGAATCTAAGAATGGTCATAGTGGATTTTTAACTTTGGCATATCTCCAAAATGTAGTCCTTGGATTTCCACTGTGCAATGTATTTTATAATTAAAATATTTTACCTAACTTTACTTGCCAAAATGCAGTTTTTTTTTTTTTTAAAACCAGAACTTTGTGCAAGGTGGTTTATGATTGAAACTGGAATTTGGAAGTAGTTGTATACTAGAGATTTTATGAAAATTAATGCAATTTGCTACGGATGTACCATTTTTTAAACTAATGTAATTAATTTGACAGCATTGTTTCAATTCCTTTTTTTAATCTCAGTTTGCAGAGACCATTGGTATTATAAGGATGTTCTAAGACTGATTTTCTTCTTCTCTGGGGACTTTAGCTATAATATAGTATTTTGAAATGTACTATGCAAATCTTTGTGTGCAGACTGAAGGGTCAGTAACCAGAAGACACCATCATAAGGTGATTGACAAAAGAACCAGAAGCAACATGGAAAATGTTTTCTTACTGTGATAAAGCTGTATAATTATCGTTTTGGGTTTTAAAGTACAGTAAAATAGATCTGTGGTTTCAGTTTTGGGAAGGTAACTTTCTTTAAAGAAATTCAGAAACTCATTTGGAACAGTGAACTAGCTATACCATTTCCAAGAAAGCATATGATTGATTTAAATTAAATGCCTGCCTCAGATATGTGTTTAATTTATCAAGTATTCACAAAATTGAACTTTGATGTATAGGAAAAAGAGTCCAGGGGCTGAGTTCAGTTCAGTTCAGAAGAATCTGGGTTTCCAGATTGAAGAACAGCTTCATACCAATAGCCTCGTGAATATGTTGCAATTACTAACCACTGCAGTAAACAAACTGCAAAAAAAAAGTTTGAACTAGCAATCCAGGTTCCACTCTGAAATGACTTTTTATTTATCTATTCACTCATGGACATGGGCATCGCTGGATGGTTAGTTCATTCCCTGTCCATTGTTGCCCTTGGGAAGGTAGTGGTGAGCTGCTGCCTTGAACTGCTGCAGTTGTCCCTTTACTGTCAGCTGGGTTTACAACAATGCAGAAAGCTGTTGTGGTCTTTAATTAATCACTCAAAAACATTCTGGAAACAAATTAAAATGTGACTTTCAAAAGATACTAGATCAATAATTGAAACAAAAAACATTTACTGAGCTGTAAGAAGAGAGTATGGTAGAGTGGGATAAAATGTATAGCTTTACTAAAGGCTGTGGTATACAGTAATTAGAAATGTTATTGTAGTATGTCACTAGTTTTTAAGATTAGCAATGGAAAGGTTTAAAATGGAGGGTTCTCTATCATTATTATTTAGACCTTCCAGATATATACAGCAAATGGGTAATAAAAGGGGTATTTGGGCTAGATGGCTGTCAAAAAGGGATTTACACACACAGGCACAGGGCATGACTGAGCCACTAAATGTGTAGTTTGCATCTGTTTTTGGCAAAGAAGATAGCGCTGTCCAAGTCATAGAGAAAAAGGTGACACTAGATGGGCTTAAAAATTGATGCAGAAGAGGCATTAAATAGGCTGGCTGTACATACAATGGGAAAAGTCACGAGGATCAAGTGAAATGCATTCAAGATTTTGAGGGAAGCAAGGGTGGAAAATTGTAGATACTAGCTTTAATCTTCCTACTATACAGGGGACTGGAGAAGTTAAAATGTTACAGTTGTTCAAAAAATGTATAATGATGAGCCCAACAACTACAGGTAGGTTGTGGGAAAACTTTTTTTGTAAGGATGAAATGATATGTGACAAAGTTAAGTCACTTTGACAAATGTGGATTAGTTAAGGAAGGCCAGCAAGGAGTTGTTAAAGATGAATTGTTTTTAACAAATTTTAGGTTTTTTGAGCTATCAGCGAAGAATTTTGGAGAAAATGTAATTGATGTAGTGCCGTTGACTTCCAAAAGATATTCGGTAAAATGCGAAATAACAGGCTTGTCAATAAAGTAAAAGCCCATATAATAAAAAGGAACAGTGACAGTCCAGATAGAAAAGTTAGCTGAGTGGAAACAGTGTAGTGTTGAATGGTCATTTCTTTCGGACTGGTGGAAGGTATGAAATGAGATTTCCCAGGTATCTGTGTTAGCACTACAGCTTTTAAGATTATAAAGTGTAAGATCAGAAGTAGGCCATTTGGCCTATCAAATCTGTCCCACCCCTCAATGGGATTGGGATAACTTGAAAAGTGTCAACTCAATACATCTTCCTTTTCCCCATAACACTTGATTCACTTACTGATTGATTGATTGATTAAAAATCCATCAATCTCAACCACTTAGTGATCCAGACTTGACAGCCCATTGCGGTAAACAATTCCACAGATTCACTCCTGTTGCATATTTTAAAAAAGAATTTGGGATGCGATAGCCTAGTAGATCCAGGTTTGAATCCTGCCACAACATATAGTGGAATTTGAATTCAATAAAAATCTGGAATTAAAAGTCTAACTATGACCATGAAACCATTGTCAAGTCAGGAAAATCTGTTCTGTTTCACTCATCCCCTCTTAGGGAAGGAAACTGCTGTCCTTACCTGGTCTAATCTACCTGTGACTCCAGACCCACAGCAATTATGAATGCTGGCCGTAGCCAGCAGTGCCCACATTCCATGAATGAATTTTAAAAATTCATTAGCAAAAGCATTGCATCAGTCTCTATCCAGACTGTTGTGAAAAAGGAGGAAATTCAGTAGCTCGAAGGGGCTTAAAGTCGATAAAGAGGAGATAGTCACAAAGCACAGAAACAGACCCTTCAGTCCAATTCAATGCCAACCGAGTTTCTCAAACTAAACTAGTTCCACTTGCCTGAGTTTGACCCATATATCTGTGAACCTTTCCTATTCACGTAACTGTTGAAATATCTTTCAAATGTTGTAACTGTACCTGTATCTACCACTTCCTCTGGCAGTTTATTTCACATTCAAACCACCCTTTTGTATGAAAATGTTGCCCCTCAAGTTCCTTTCTTAAATCTTTCTCCTCTCACCTTAAATATATGCCCCTTGGTTTTGAGTTCCCCTAGCCTAGGGAAAAGACCTTTTGCTATTCACCTTATCTATGCCCCTCGTGTTTTGATAAACCTCTATAAGGTCACCCCTCAGCCTCCTATAACCCAGTGGAAAAATGTCCCAACCTATCCAGCCTCTCTTTGCAACTTAAACTCTCTAGTATCTGTAACTCTTTTCTGAACCCTCTCCAATTTAAGTAATATCCTTCCTATAGCAGGGTGACCGGAACTGTACACAGTACTCAAAAGTGTCATTATCAATGTTCTATACAACCTCAACATGACACCTTAACTCCTATACTGAATGGTCTGAGCAATGAAGGCAATCATGCTAAGCACCACCTTAACCGCCCTGTCCACCTGTTATGCAAGGAATAATGTGCCTAAACCTCTAGAGCCAGATCATATTTCTGGCTTGATGACAGCGTCCGCTCATGTTATTACTGTGTAGTAATGTTGTAAGACAATTAACTTCCTGTTGTGCATACTTTTCATACCTAGAGACTTTGACAGTGCAGTAGTTCTTTAGGGTCAGTCTAGATTGTGATCTTAACTCTGCCTCCTTAGATGCCAGAAGTCAATCACTATTGCGAGGTTCAGTGATTTATGAAAAATAAACTTCAGGAGCTTGCCCAAATGGCCATTTTTAATGTTTGATCCTAGAAGTTATGTTGCTAGTCATTTGATTTCAGATGGAGATATAGATCATGTGAAACCTTACCTGAATGTACTTTCTCTCTCGGGTCGGCGGGGGTGGGGGTGCTGCAGCCATCACTGCATAGCTATGATGAATAGAAAACATTGGCTCACCAAACCCTTTCCTTTAAACAAGTTGTTGCTCTATTTGAAATCATCTAACTAACTTGTGCTAGAGTTTAAATTTGGATGCTCCTGGCTTATCATTGCATCTCTGCTGTTACTTGAAAATCAAATATCAATTATTTGATATGTAGCATTGTTAATGTTTTGACTCCTTCATTAAGTGTGATTAAATATTTAGTATTCAGTCTAAAATTTTAGGCATCAATTAAAGATTTTGCCTTGTCTTATTTTGCAGCAGCCTAATCTATAAGTTTGGAAGAACGGAGGAACTCTGGGCATAACCCCTGTCATGTCAGCACTGACTCAGGATATTCTGCACATGAACGATAACTGCAAATACACATTGCTTCTAATTGGCCAAATATTACTTCAAGTTGATTTTAGATAAAATGTAAAATGTATCATCAAAAGATTTTGAAAGACTCATCTTTTTATTTTATGAACATTTTAGTATTTTGTATTCCAGTACTGCTTTGTGAATAATAGTTACATTGAGTCATATAAACAGAAGATGATGCGCTGGTTGGGCTGATAACTGTTGTATGATCTCTTAAATTCAGTGTAAAATATATGGATAATATATCAGATATGTTGCTAATACTGTTATTCTTGCTATAATGATTGCGGCTTTGCATTTTGTAAAAAATCAAATTCTGTACACCCGCAAAGCAGCATAAGCTTGTAAACTTTAGATTTGTGCAAAATATTTGTAAGATTTAGAATCATAGAATAGAATCCTAGTTGTCCATTTTAATTATTTTAAATTTTAAAATCACTACTCGCATATATTGCTGTTGAACCAGAATGTTTGCTGCAACTGTGTTTTGAATTGTCTGAGGGAGGGATTGCCACTATTAAACAGGTTTATTTTTCTTTGGTTATTTATGAAATGAATCTTCTCAACAGCGTGTTTTAATGTGAATTCCTCTGTTCAACAAAATTTGAAATAAACACAACCTGCTGTGTTGAATGTCTGGAGAAAAGTAACTATTTGGTCATTCCAATTAACTGACTTAACGTCAATTATTTTATCAAAAGTTTTCATCTTAAGAGCTTTTGTCTAATTGCTAGTTTTACATATATAATGAGACTTCAACCTGGTCAGTCTGATTTCCTTATAGAGAGTGCCTGCTGAGTATGCAAAATGGACAAACAACTGAATCCCTAAGAGAAATATGGAACTTTTTAAGAGGAAATTGACATACAACTGGGACTAACCTACTTGAGGCTAATCCATTAAACAATTACCTCAGGGCTGTTCTGTAATTCAGCTGCCTTTGTTTTTGTGCAATGACCTCACCTAATAAGTCTGTCAATATCATTCTTCAAAGTTTCAATTGAACAGCATCTGTGGTCCTTTAAGGAGACAATCCTAGATTTCCACTATGGTACTTCATATTTTCACTCCTGAATATCTTCTCTCTAACTTTTGTTATACCTGCTTGATTTGACCAATATGAGAAAATAGCTTCTCTGTATCTAGAAGCATAGGATGTGGGAGCATGAGTAGGCCATTTGGCCCTTTTTGAGACTGTTCCAACATTTATTAAAATTATACACACATTCAAATTAGGAGCAAGGGTCAGTCATTGTCCCTCAATCCTGCTCTGCTATTCAGTAAGATCATGGTGGCTGTTATGTAGAGTCATCTAGACTCAATGTTAGCTTGCTTGTCTCTCCATGGATGCTGCCTGACCTGCTGTGATTTCTAGCATTGTTTTGTTTTCAGTACAGATTCCAGCATCTGCAGTAATTTGCTCTTCATGACTGATTTTTGTTGTGGTCTCAGCTCCACTTTCCCCGTTAAATCCCATAATCCTTGACTCCTGTGTCTGTCAAAAGATTAACTCTGTCTTGAGTAACTGTAAAGACCCATAATCCTCCCTACCTTTTGAGGAAGACCATTCCCCATTCTAACAACTCATTGAGATAAGATGAATTCTCATCACTGTTTTAAAATGCATACCTCATAATCTTAACTCTGTCCCCTAATTTTATACGGAAGAGAAATATCCTGAAACCTAATGAATCTGTTCACTTCAGGATCCTGTAGGGCAACTTCTGTTCTTGCATCTCATGGCTTTACCAGTAAGGGAATTGAGAGTCATAGGAAAAGACAGGAAAGTGGAGATGATGATTTTCAGATCAGCAATGATCTTATTGGCAGAGCAGACTTGATGGGCTGAATAGTCTACTTCTACATCTTATGGTTTTGATAAGATCATTTCTCAATCTTCTAAATACCAATTAGTATAGACTCAATTTGCTCAACATTTCTTCATGAGATAAGACCTATATCCCAGGAATTAATGAAATGAACCTTCTCTGCTTCTAAGGCAACTAATTGGTCCTCCAAAGAAAACCTTATGTAGTACTCCAGATGTGATCTCTCCGTTGCCTGTATAACTGCAGTAAAGCTTGCCTATTTTTATATTACATTCCTCATGCAATAAACAACTGTTTGATTTGCTATGTCAAATTATTTTACCTTATTAAGCAATTCACTAAAATTGCTCTTGATAAAAGGAAAATACCGTGGATGCTAGAAATCTGAAACAAACACAATGCTGGAGAAACTCCGTACCTCTAGCAGCATTCATGAAGTAGGAAGCAGTTAATGTTTCAAGTCCATTTTGAAAGTTATTAAGAAAGAGTCATATGGGACGCAGTTATAAATGTTTCAGATGCTGTCAAACTTGCTGAGTTTTTCAAGTATTCTAAGCTTACTGTAATGGATCCTGTACTCCAATTCTTTTAAAATTCAGCATCACTCTGATAAATCAACAGTGTATCCACTCCAAGGTTGATATGTTTTCTGTGGTGCAGTACCCGAAATGGAGCACAGTTCTCCACGTGGACTCTGAAGCCTTTGTACAGGTGTAGAATCAGTGCTTTTGAATTCCAGAACCCTGAGATAAAACCCAACATTCTGTTATCATTACTGTACTTACGTGGTGGTTTTCGGTGATCTGGATTCCCAACTGAGTGACCTCACACTTTCCTGCATTCCTTATGTATCAGTTTTGCCGATTTGCATAAACCATCTATATCCATTTGTAACATCCTGTGCCTATCTACACAACATATGTCCAACTTGTAGATGATCATCTTCAACACCCAACTTCCTTCTCCTTGCTAATTCCTGGCTGGGAGAGTGCAAGGAAGCTTCAAAGTGATTTAGAAGAACGAAATGTGCAGGAAAACACATGGCAGATGTGGTGCAATGTGAATTTATGCACTTTGGTGTGAAATAAAGAAAGGAAGTGTATTTAAATGGTGATACGTAAGTAAGTGTGGATCTATAACGGGACCTGGGTGTCCTTGTACATCAATGAAAGTAGACCATTAGGAAAGCAATTAGGTGGGCTTATGGTATACTTCTCTTTATTGCAAGTGGATTAGAGTTCAGAGTAAGGATGTCATACTGCAATTATACAGGGCCTTTGTGCAACCACCTGTAGAGTATTGTCTGCAATTTTGTTCTCACTCGACCGGAAACATTAACTTGGATTTCTCTCCACAGATGCTGCTGGACAAACAAAGATCAAAGAAAATTACAGCACAGGAACAGGCCCTTCGGCCCTCCAAGCCTGCGCTGATCCAGATCCTCTATCTAAACCTGTCGCCTATTTTCCCTGCCCGTTCATGTATCTGTCTAGATACATCTTAAATGACGCTATCATGCCTGCCTCTACCACCTCCGCTGGCAACGCGTTCCAGGCACCCACCACTCTCTGTGTAAAGAACTTTCCACGCATATCTCCCTCAAACTTTTCCCCTCTCACCTTGAAATCATGACCCCTAGTAATTGAGTCCCCCCACTCTGGGGGAAAAAGCTTCTTGCTATCCACCCTGTCTATACCTCTCATGATTTTGTAGACCTCAATCAGGTCCCCCCTCAACCTTCGTCCTTCTAATGTAAATAATCCTAATCTACTCAACCTCTCTTCATAGCTAGCGCCCTCTATACCAGGCAACATCCTGGTGAACCTCCTCTGCACCCTCTCCAAAGCATCCACATCCTTTTGGTAATGTGGCGACCAGAACTGTACGCAGTATTCCAAATGTGCTCGAGCCAAAGTCCTATACAACTGTAACATGACCTGCCAACTCTTGTACTCAATACCCCGTCCGATGAATGAAAGCATACCGTATGCCTTCTTGACCACTCTATCGACTTGCATTGCCACTTTCAGGGTACAATGGACCTGAACACCCAGACTTGCTGAGCTTTTCCAGCAATTTCTGTTTTTGCTTCTGATTTGCAAAATTTTGATTTTTCTTATCTATGTATAGTAATATCACTACTTTGGATAAACGCTTCTAACACTTGTGATTTTTTTTTCTTGGAAGTAACCAAAGTTGTGAAGTTTTTTATTCTGTCCCTGCAATCTTGCTGAACTGTTGACTTAGGATGTCTTCTGATTTTTTTCAAGCATTTCCCTTCTTGCTTATGTAATTAAGACTGATATCAGCTAAGTTCAAGTTTCCTTCCAAGATAAGATAGATTAATGTTTTAAAGAGGAGAAGCCTTGTCTAATCTAAGAAAGCTTATCTCATTAAACTTTTCCCTTTCTCATCTGTTGCTCTTTCTGCCTCAAGAATGAATGACCCTGTATGCCCTTAGCAACTCAATTGGTTTTAACTTTTTTGTCAATACAAATATTCATTTCAAGTACATTGCTCAGTCACTGTAAAAATGACAAATGTGCAAGAATAAAAGAAGGAGAATTATCTTAGAGATTTAAACTCAATTTAAATATGCATTAAAACAGTTTCTAGTGCATTAACATAGTCAGTCAGTGATCCTGGCTAAAGCACATATCCACATCCATACATCAAACTCCTGTTAAATGTTCCTGTAGAGAAAAATACAAGAGTTAAGGAGTCAATTTATCTCACATCTGAGGACATGTAGCCGTTTCCCTGTATACATCCAGCATTAACACTGCAGCAAAGGTTGATTTTCATTGTTTGTGATTTTACTTTCATCGGAAATATTCAAGTGCAGATTTTGTCAAGAAAGATCAGCTCATCAAATACCATAAATAAAAACCAAAAGAACTATGGATGCTGGAAATCAGAGATTAAAACAGCCAGACTTGCTGAGCTTTTTCATCAAATACTGTTCCTGTCTCATTCAGTAATCTCTGTACTCGAGTATTGTAAAAAAAAATTCATTTTGTCAAAACTTTGTGTATTGTACTCATCAGGATTATTTGAGAGAATGCCAATTCAAATGGAAAACTAACACACTGCATGAGATGAGGGCACTAATTGGACTCTGATCCTTACTGAAGTAACAAGCAAATTAGATAAATTGGAGCCACTGGCTGTGGTCTATTTTGATTTCCAGAAAGCTTTTGGCAAGGTGTCACAAAGGACGCTGCCAGAGGAATCGAACCTCTGGAGTTCAGGGTTAGGAGTGGGGATAAAGGGGTCTTTTTCAGGTTGGCAATCTGAACTAATGATGTTCTGCAGGGGTCAGTGTTGGGGCCACAACTATTCACGTTATACATTAATGAGTGGACGAAGGAACTGAGGGCATTGTTTCAAAGATTGCAAATGACAGGTGGAGGGACTGGAAGTGTTGAGGAGGTGGCAAGGCTGCAGAATGAGTTGGACAGGCTAAGAGACTGGGCAAAGAAGTGGCAAATGGAATACAATATGGGAAAATATGAGGTTGTGCACTTTGGTAGGAAGAATAGAGGCGTATTTTCTGAATGGGGTAAGGCTTTGGAAATCTGAAGCTCAAGGTGACATAGGAGCCCTACTTCAGGATTCTCTTAAGGTAAACATGCAGGTCATTGGTTGTTAGGTAGGCAAATGCAATATTTGCATTCATTTTGCAAGGGCTAGAATGCAAGAGCAGATATGTACTGCTGAGGGTATATAAGGCTCTGGTCAGACTGCATTTGAAATATTGTGAGCAGTTTTGGGCCCCATATCTAGGTAGGGATGTGTTGACCT